AGGAAGACATGAGAAGAATATTAATGGGGGAGGCAACATAGTGACAGATAATGTGGAAAAAGCTGAAGTACTCAATGCTTTTTTTTGCCTTGGTCTTCACTGACAAGGTCAGCTCCCAGACTGCTGCACTGGGCAACACAGTATGGGGAGGAGGTGAGCAGCCCTCAGTAGTGAAAGAACAAGTTAAGGACTATTTAGAAAAGCTGGACATGCACAAGTCCATGGGTCCAAATCTAATGCATCCAAGGGTGCTGAGGGAGTTGGCTGATGTGACTGCAGAGCCACTGACCGTTATCTTTGAAAATTCTTGGTGATCGGAAGAGGTCCCAGATGATTGGAAAAAGGCAAATATAGTGCCCATTTTTTAAAAAGTGAAGAAAGAGAACCCGGGGAACTACAGACCGGTAGCCTCACTTCAGTCCCCGGCAAAATCATGAAGCAGGTCCTCAAGGAATCCATTTTGAAGCACTTGGAGGAGAGGAAGGTGATCAAGAACAGTCAACATGGATTCACCAAAGGCAAGTCATGCCTGACCAAACTGATTGCCTTCTATGATGAGATAAGTGTCTCTGGGGATACGGGGAAAGCGGTGGATGTGATATATCTTGACTTTAGCAAATCTTTTGATACGGTCTCCCACAGTATTCTTGCCAGCAAGTTGAAGAAGTATGGATTGGATGAATGGTCTAGAAGATGGGCAGAAAAGCTGGCTAGATTGTTGGGCTCAACGGGTAGTGATCAACGGCTCGATGTCTAGTTGGCAGCCGGTATCAAGTGGAGTGCTCCAGGGGTCAGTCCTAGGGCTGGTTTTGTTCAACGTCTTTATTAATGATCTGTATGATGGGATAAATTGCACCCTCAGCAAGTTCGCAGATGACACTAAGCTGGGGAGAGAGGTAGATATGCTGGAGGGTAGGGATAGGGTCCAGAGTGATGTATACAAACTGGAGGATTGGGCCAAAAGAAATGTGATGAGGTTCAACAAGGACAAGTGCAGAGTCCTGCACTTAGGAAGGAAGAATCCCATGCACCGCTATAGGCTGGGGACCGACTGGCTAATCAGCAGTTCTGCAGAAAAGGACCTGGGGATTACAGTGGACGAGAAGCTGGATATGAGTCAGAAGCGTGCCCTTGTTGCCAAAAAGGCCAACGGCATTTTGGGCTGTATTAGTAGGGGCACTGCCAGCAGATCAAGGGAACAGATTATTCCCCTGTATTTAGCACTGGTGAGACCATACCTGGAGTATTGGGTCCAGATTTTGTCCCCCCCAGTACAGAAGGGATGTGGACAAGTTGGAGAGAGTCCAGCAGAGGGCAACAAAAATGATTAGGGGGCTGGGGCACATGATTTACGAAGAGAGGCTGAGGGAACTGGGGTTATTTAGTCTGCATAAGAGAAGAGTGAGGGGGGATTTGATAGCAGCCTTCAATTACCTGAAGGAGGGGTTCCAGAGAGGATGGAGCTTGGCTGTTCTCAGTGGTGGAAGATGACAGAACAAGAAGCAATGGTCTCAAGCTGCAGTGGGGGAGGTTTAGGTTGGATATTAGGAAGCACTATTTCACTAGGAGGGTGGTGAAGCACTGGAATGGGTTACCTAGGGAGGTGGTACAATCTCCATCCTTAGAGGTTTTTAAGGTCCGGCTTGACAAAGCCCTGGCTGGGATGATTTAGTTAGGGTTGATCCTGCTTTGAGCAGGGGATTGGACTAGATGACCTCCTGAGGTCTCTTCCAACCCTAATCTTCTATGATTCTATGCACCAGAAACTCCTGAACTGCTACAACTGACCAATTTTCAGAGCAGAGCATCCTCCTATAATTTCATCTGACTACAGTTTTGAATGTGAATGAGTCAAGTCGCTCCAACATCAGAACATAGAACCTGAGTCTGTGTCCAAACTCACCCACTTCATGTGGCTGACTTTACAGTAATTACAAAAATAATACAACATACATCAGTTAGACAGGTCATCCACTACTGTAACTGCTGACTACATACCAGAGATGGGACCAAGCCCACAAATAAAGGGTTCACTTAAACAGAAACATGGGCTCTGGTGCTTGGTGAACTGCTGGAAGACTACCAGTTAGGCTTACTGCCTCATGCAGGACTAGACTTCAGCATCAGGCTCTGAGGAGACATGCTTACCCCTGTGCTGTGGAAGAACAGGATTCATTGTTAGTAAAGATGCTGGTAAACCTTCTGTCAAGATGTCCTGCAGTGGCTCAAGATTGTGAGTACCAACCTTTGGGAAGACTGCTAAGAATCAGGGGACAAACCCCAAACTGGCTGTGAGATCTACATTTCACCAACCAATTATCCAGTGTAAACTCCTCAAGCACTGTAACAGCCCAACCATGGAATCACAGACAGTTCCCTTGGATACTCCGATCTGTCCTGCCACCCAGGTAAACCTGTCTTTGTGACAGTTCATCCCTTACACCAAGGATTATAGCAATATTCAGGTTACTCCCAAGTCCCAAAGTACCCGTCACTTATCACAGGTAAAATGCACTTTAGATCTCACACCAAAGACACTTGTAGATAATCCTATAATAAACTATCTAAAGATTTTATTATATAGGAAAAGGAATCAAGAGAGTTATTTACAAGTTTAAAGCAGGTCAAAATATATACACACAAATGAGTTCCAATCTAAAGTTCCAAAAAGTAATAGAAACTTCTATAATAGGCAAGCCCTATATGTCCTTTAGCAGTAACTCAGGCTAAGCACTGGAGATCATTTGCTTATGCCTAGTAATCCTTTCCTCCCAGTGTCCAAGCAGCATAAAGAAACAGTTCCTTCTTGTTAGTGTTTTTCATTCCCTTCCTTCCTTCTGCTTTGAGCTGCAGACTCAGCTGATGGGATGAATTCACTTGCATGACTCATCTTCACTGAAAGGAGAAAGCAATGAAGACTTTTGCCTTCTTGAATGTTCCATTCTTGTCTCTCTGGTGGTGATGAGCTTCCCATGATAGGCAGGACTTATAACCTCTGGTTGGAGACCTGCATTTCACACTAGCTAATGTCTCTCTTCTGTCTGGTGATTTACACAGTTACAGAGGTTTACAAATAAAATGTTCTAATATTACCTTATAATATGGGATACAGATGTTAAAAATGAGATTAATGCATGCAGCAACTTACAAGCGTTCCAACTATGTATTTGTCAGGGTTCAGTGGAGAAATAGGGACGCTGGCATGAGTTGGCACCTGGTCTGCCAATATCACACCTTCATCAGAACAAACTGATACCATTGATTCAGTTAGCCAATGGGCCATGCTGAAGCAATCTACTTATTGTTGCTCCCATAAAGTCACGAGGCTGGCAAACTACTAATTTGATTAACCACAGTAGGTTCAGTGATTATCACCGAGTCAGAAGAGAGAAATCCAGTTCTAGAGTGGACCTGATGACTTGCAACTATAATCTATTATAATCTTATAAACTAATTTACTCTATGATTCTCACTGATGAAACATCTTACTTGTGAAACCTGACCATAGCCCCACCTTTCCTAATTTAGAAGGGAGAGAGGTTGGTAATTTTAGGAATGGCTCCTAATTACTTAAAATAAATATCCATACTAGCCAAGAAATGTATCCTGTCTTCAGCAGCTGGAGGCAACAGCAGAGGGAGCCAGCAAGCAACCCAACTCCCCACCATCATACCTATCATAACGTTGCACCTTGCTGGTAGAGAAAAATAAACCTATTTGTCTAAACTAGTGTAGATGAGGGCTGAGATTTTCAAAACTGCCTAAGGGATTTAAACACCTAATTCCCATTAAAATTAATGGCTACTGGGCATCCACATCCCTTACACAGTTGTGAAAATCTCAGTCTAGTATCTTAGAATGGAACTTCACTTAAAATCCTCACTAACATACCAGCAGAAGGGACAGTCTGTAACCCCAGGAGACACTCTGAGATATATGGAATTTAACTGAGTTATCCAGCCTAACTACTGAGACCACAAAATAATGCTGCATCTCCAAACAAAGCCTTTACAACATATGAAAAGTTATTGAGCCACTACATACTAATCACTTACAATTTAGCAACTAATGAGATGCAGCCTCCAGCATATGGACTTAAAATAATTATCAGAAACAAATTATAGAAAAGGAAATGTGAAGAAAATACACTCTTTTGTTCTTCTGTTTGGTACTGCATAGACCCTTAAAAAAAAACATAACCCAATGAAACAAGCATCCAGAGAGGTTAAAAAAAATACAGCCATCTGCTAAGACTGAGTTATAGGACTTTTCGTCAGACCAAACTGTAATCTTGTAATATTGATAGTAACAGCTATTGACCAACTAATGTTGCAGATCATTCTAAGGAGTCCAAAACACTCATAACTTCCCAGTAATGAAGGTAGGTCAGAAGTACCACTTCACTATTAGAGTGCTTTTTTCCTATTTAAAAATAGGGGGGAGAGGGTGAAAAATCAAACAGCAAATAAACATAGGTGCACACTTTCTATGAATGCAGAAAAGAGAAAAGTTTGTTTCAGTAGCTACAGTGAGAGGGTAACCACATGGAATACAAAGGAGCCGCCCCTTCTTACCCAACCCCTCCACAACTGGCAAGATACTTAAGACACAATTTTTAATTATGTCAGGCTTCTCAGATTTGAATCACTGCTTTTTAATATAGAGCAAGGTAGAAGGCCACTAGCCTAAATTTTAAAAAGGAACTAGTGATTGAGTAACTCACTTTTTAGTTAACCAACTTGAGATACCTCAAAAGGGCCACACTTCCCAAAAATCAAGCCCTCTTAAGGCATCTCAAGTTGAGCACTCAGAAAAGGGGTGACTCAAAGTCACTAGTCCCCTTTAAAATGAAGGCCAGTAAATGTAAATACCAAAAGTCAGCCCATGAGTACTCACAGTATTTAAAGTTTTAATTCTGTGTCCTGTATTTTCTCTCCCTGTTTCATTACTGTGCAACTGCAGCAGTATAGAAGAACATTCTGTGTGACAAGCTTTTGTACCTTACGATCTCTAAATCCAGAACGTTGTTTCTTCTTCTTCTCTTCGGGCTGAGCCCCTCCACCACTTGACTCGACAGTCTTTCTATCATCGCCATTCTCCTCTTCTTCTTGATCCTTCACTTTTTCATTAGTTTCTGTCCTTGCATTGTGTTTTACAGATGACGGTGCTTCTGCATGGGCTCTGTGATAGGCAGGAAAACAACAACGATTAATTCAGGAACTTTAGAGGATCCATTTGTAACAAGTTAACCAATTTTTAACATTGTATTCAACCAAACAAGCAGATTGGAATAACAGCAGATTTGACTGTAAACATCTAAGATCGTAAAATGCTTGAGGCAGGGACAGTCTCTGACTGTGTGTCTGGTAAAACAATTACTACAATTGGGGTCCTGATCCTAATTGGTGTCTGTGGGTACTACTGTTGTTAGAATAATAAAATAAAATAAAATAAAATAAAATAAAATAAAATAAGAGAAATAACTTCAATTAGTGTACTAGTAGTCCAATGGTAGCACCCTGCCATGATAAATTTCCACTTCTCCATCTCCAGACACAGTTAACACTGGGTATTTGGCAGGTGGGAAGAGAAAGCACATCAAGTGATTTAACATTGACAGTCAATGGATGACATCACTGAGCTCTAAAATGGAATCCCGCACAGACTTTCTTGACTGGAACACTGGCTGCAATTCAGAGCTTTGAGGATTGAAGAATAAAAAGCGAATGAAAGTTAGGATATTTAAGAATCTGCAACACATACTGATATTTCCCCCCCGCCCCTGGTGGAATTCACCCACCCTTGCAAAACAAACTAATATCAATTATTCATTTGTTTGTTCCCAAGAATCTAGCTAAATATATGAATCACAGACTGAATTATGCAAGTTCACATGTCTGCTTATCTTCGAGTCAACAAAAAACAACCCCTCCCCCCGAGATGCAGCAAGTGCTGTTTTACAGAAAATGAGAAAGAAAATATTCTGACTTTAAAAGTGCCTTTAAAACCTCTACCAAAAGAAAAAAAGTAAGACAAAGTGATGAAGGAAGCAGAATGCAGTACTGCTGTGCTCAGAATAAGCAGCCTTTTGGTCTCAGCTCAATCGATTTATTTTTGATTTCAAGCAGACAGACTGTCGTATTTCGTTCATGGCTGAATCTAGTGAATTTGAAGGGTGAAGGAGGGAGGGAATAATGACAATGAAGACTGAAGTTGGTTATCCATAAATTAGAAATACTGCACACAAGCAGAACACTGGGGCTCTTTTCTTGCTGTGCAAGAGCACCTCCCAGTAATCCTCTGCAGATGAAAATTCAGCCTACCTCCACAGTCAGTCTTACTGCCAACCCACTGTGAACAACGAGCAATGAAAGCTACTTGAGGCAAAGTTGTAGGCTACAGTTTGTACACAGAGCAAACTTCATGACAGAATGCAATAACAGAGCTTTAATCCAATCTAGCATATAAAAGTTCAGTTGCAATGCCACAAATGAAAAGCAAAACATCTCATATAGAAAGACTACCCTAAAAGACACAGGACCTTTGTATCTCCTAAACTTCAAGCAAAAAAAAAAATATTCATATTTGACCCCCATTTTTACCAACAAAATGTAGAAGCGGTGTATCAAAAGTTCCTTATGTTTTAAAAATAAAAATCCCAGTTTTATTGATTTTTCACACGGGTAAACACAGCCATGTTTGCGGATAGTCTCCATGCATTACATAAAGAAAAAGTAAAATAAAGAGGACAGATTACTCCAAAATTAAACACCAAAAAAAAGTACAGCTCCATACTGGCTGACTCCTCATAAGTCACTAACCACTATTACATGTGATAGATTTGGAAGTAGTAAGTCTTCTACATTGCTTAAGAGAAGAAAGTACCAATTAGGGTTACCATATTCAAACATTTAAAAAAGAGGACACTCCAGGGGGCCCCGGCCCCGCCCCCGGCCCTGCCCCAACTCCGCCCCTTCCCCGCCCCCGGCCCCAACCCAACCCCTT